ACAATGGAGTGTGCATTACACTTGGAAAAAAGTGTGAATCGGTTACTATTAGAGTTCCAGAAACTGGCCCCTGAAAAAAATGACCCTCATTTGTGTGACATCATTGAGCCCACTACCTGGATGAGTAGGTGAAATCCATCAAAGAAATGGGTAAGCACATAAGGCCACCTCACTCAGGTTGGGGGCCCCTGAATCCGGCATGGCAGAGTGTCTGACAAGCACCCTCTGGGAGACAGTAAGGAGAGCTAAGCCTTAGTCTGACTTCCCACAGCCACGGGGGTGACTTCCCTGGTCACCAAAGCAGTACATGCATGTTGGAGTTACCTTTACCTCTTCTATAACTCGTACCAAATCATCCACTGATGTCCTTCATTTGTACTACTCCTTCAAATAATTTGTTACCCTCCCACCCCTGCCAAAATACTTCTCTCTCAAATCAACGTTTCTCTCTCTCTCTAAAAGCAATGAAAAAATGTCCTTGGGTGAGGATTAAAAAAAATTAAAAAACAAACCCAAAGGCTTCAAAGAATACCCCGAGGATAGGGTCAGCAGACTTTGGCCTCCCTACAGGCCAAATGTGGCCCACCACCTGTTTTTGCACTGCCTCTGAGGTTTTTACATTTTTAAATGATTAAAAAAATAATCAAAGAAGTATAATATGTTGTGACATGTGGAAACTGTATGAAATCCAAATTTCAGTGTCCATAAATAAACTTTAACTGGAACACAACCCATGATCATTCACATCAGTATTGTCTATGGTTCTTTTTTGGTGAATTGGGCATGGGCCTGCTAAGGCTGAAATACCCAGCATCTGGCCCTTTACAGAAAGTCTGCCAGTTCCTGCCTTAGAAGGCCATACACTTATTCTAATGAGACTACAAATTAGGAAAATATTTTTGAAACTCCTTTTTTGAAAATGCCTTCAAAGCTGTAACGCATTCTTTTGAGTCTCACCAGAGGTGGCAAACCTTCCTTCTTTGAAGCTGAGAGTGAATTTTTGAAACAGTTAAGCTATTTGAAGCCAAAATTGAGTAAGATCGTTTGTTAAGATGAATCAACTAGCAAACATTTATTGATAATCTAAATTTAAGGAAGGGAAAGATTCCTTTTTTAAAAAAAGTGGTATCTCAGACTTCCAAGAGCTACCATCATGTGCTTTCATAGCTTTGATTCAAGGAAAATAGAAAATAATTCTATGTGGAGGAAAAATAATTCTTTCACAGAACTGGAAGATCGACTTTCTTGAGTGACTGTGGATTTGCTATGAAGTTTTTTTTGTTTGTTTTAACAAAGAGAAACTGCAATAATACTCTTTTGGAATAAATGATACTCAAGTGAAATTTAAAAAAAACAGGATTCATTTGTAAAAGTGGTTAAACCTTCCATTAAAACCCATTTTACTGATTTATAATCATAATTTATAAGATAAAATTAGCATACATAAATAAATAATCCCATCCACTCAGGCAAAGTAAATCATTTATCCCTGGCCCTCCTCTCTAATTCTATATGCGCTCCCTGAGCAATTTCATCTATTCTTCATGGCTTCAATTACCACTCACTGTCTAACTCAAACTCTGAATTGCCAATCCCAGCCTCCCTCCCGGGTTTGACATCGCCGTCTGAACTGAATGCTCCACAGACACTTCAAACTCCGCTTGCTCAAAACTGAAATGGTCATCTTCCTCTTGCCTTAAAAAAATAAAACAAATTCCCATATCCACAGGTTCCCAAGCTTTGAAACTAAGTCGGTTACTTTTCTGTAGACCTTCAAAGCCAATCAGTTTTTAAGCCCTGTAAATTCTGTACTTCCATTATCTGTCCTCTCCACTTCATCTCCACTATTTTCCTACTCCAGGCCCTAATCCTCTTTTATCTATTTCAATAGGCGAGCCTCTAATTTATCTCTTTCCATCCAATCCAGCCTCCACACTATACCACCATGTTATCTTCCCTAATTACTTCAAGTCCTTCACTGGCTCTCCATTGTTTTTAGAACCAAGTCCAAAGTCCTCAGCATGACACACACGCTCTTCACCGTAAGGCACCAGCAGACTTCTTTTTTCTTTTTGCCTGACTGATAGCTTTTTATTTACCTCATCTGTACACTGTTTTATGAAGTATCCTGTACTTCAAAACATTAAAACTACTTTAAATTTTGCAAGACTGGACAAATCTCTTCCGAATGAGAGGCACCGAAATCCCACACGTAACCTAACTGCAGCAGTTTCAGCGATCCTAATGTGATGAGCAGCCACGCTGCCATTTCTTTTTCCAGCTAATTTTCAGGCACCGTCCCCTTTGGCCCAACCACTAATCACTATACACTCCAATCTTAGGGACATTGAACAACAAACACATCCCTCCAACACACCATCTACTTTTACGTAAGATTCCTGATTTTCACCTATTGTCTTCTGTTCCCTTCCCCAACTTGGCAAACTCCTATTCATCCTTCAAAGCTGAATTCAAATATGGTATCTTCTCTCTAACCCTCCACCCTATCATATATAGCATTATTTTCCCCAATCAACATTCCTATTAAACTCTATCTGTATCTCTGTTTTAACTCTTATCACACTGTAATTGCAGGGACTTGTTTACATGTCTGGTTAAAGCTTCTTGAAGTTAGGGAAGCATTTTTATTTCTTCAATCTAACACTTAACTCATGGTCCAAGAACAGACATTTTAAACTTATTGAAAAATAATCATCTCTTATATTATTAAGATAATGCCGTAATTGTAGTGACTGAGTGACTGAGAACCTAGACACAAAAAGAATCCCATGTCATTCACCAGGAAAAAAAAAACACTCTTATATACAAAGTATAATTAAATTGTAGCTTGGACATGCCTTCAATCTACATCTTGCAATACCAGTTTCTTTTCTCTCCCTTTGTCTCCCTCTCTTTCCTTCTTTTTGAAGAGCTTCTTTACAGAACTCTTTTAAATATCCATTTGATTTCATTTGTAGCTCACAGAATTTGAAACTCAGTACAGAGGTTAAGAGGTTAAGATTAGGATTTTGGGGGACCGCAAATGTTTGGTTTGAATCCCAGCTCTGCTCCAAGCTGTTTGATATAGGCAAGTTACTCAACCTCTCTGTGTCTCTGAGCAAGAAGCTCAAAATAATAGTAATACCCCTCATGGTGCTGTGTGAGGATTCAATAAGCTAATGCATGTAAAGAATTTAGAACACTGCCTGGCTCAGGGCAGGTCTCAATTAATGCTGGTGGATGTTATCAGTTTTAAAAACAGCTTTCTCAGTACGTCTTTTAGCCCACTGGTTAGAGTGTAATCTCCAGAATAGAAGAATTATATCCTGCCCATACATCAATACTATACAGTGTAAAACTGTGCCTTGGAATATAACACATGCTCAATAAATAATGCAAACATAATGCTTAAGGCTTCCAGTATTAACAAGTTATAAATCACAGCAAAATTTATCTATGGAGTACATATTTAAAATTGTGGTTTTAAAGTAGTTTCAAAATATCCATCTTCCACTGAACCTTTGAAATTGTAAACTGTTTAAAGCAACCCAAAAATTATATTCACTAGGACCTTTGCCTTTTATTCCTCCATCTAATTTGATCTCAGTTTTCAGGGACCTAAAATTCTCATCTGTAAATATAATTTCCAGCTTTAGAAAACTGTCTATTGTCACAGCAGAAAAAAATTCTTCCTTTATAGCTGCATTAAAAAAATCCATTGCCATGTTCAACACAAAAAAATTAATAAAAGGCCAAGAGACACAATTACTACATTTCCTGGTTTCTGCCTGGGAAACTAATTCAGAACACGCCCAGAAATAACTCCAGTAAAAGTTTGCTGGTTACGAACTGCAAATGTCTATAATAAAGGCTGTACACAAAATGCAACATTAATTTTGTTTTGGAGAACTGAAATCTTAAAAATACAAACAAAAGCCTTGATTTGAAGAAACACTCCCAGTTTACTTCCCCAGGTAAATTAAACTACAACTATATACCTAAAACAAAGTAGATTATTTGACGGCTTCATGGTAAATGATTCAGTAACAGGGTACAGATAACATGTACTATTCTAGAAAAATTCATTAGTAATTAGTTAAACATGGACCACACTTCAAACAATGGTGGTTTTGTGAAAAATGGGCTTGAAGAATTTACCTTCACAGTAAACAGAGATTTAGGACTTCATCTAAAAACACTGTAGGTCAATCTCTAGTTTTAGGGTAAAGGTTTACAGAGTTCCTACTATGTGTTTGGCAACTAGCGTGCACGAGGCTGATGCACAATCAAATAACACTACCTAATATTTGTGTAATACTTTAATCTCCTTCCACCCTCGGAATACACCCAGGCATGAGCATCCCAGTTTTACAGCTAAGGAAACAGAGGCCCAGAAAAGTCACTTTGACCGCGGTATCACTGCTGGTCCGTGCGTCCTGCCGAGCCCTTGACTTATCATGTAATCTGCCCAATTACTCAAAAACTCTTAGAAGTTCCATTGTCAGATTTTTAAATCAAAGTCCTACTTGACTTTTTGTGTTGTGCCTGTCAGATCCTGTTAAGAATCAAAACACACAAAAAGCAAAAATGCTTTAAATTTCCTCATCTCAGCCTGTCAACGTTCAAACGGACTCATCCTGGCCAGAGCCCCGCGTTTCCTCCTGCACGCGGGGCGCTCCCCCTCCCTCCCCCTGGGGGCCCCCGGACCCCCGGGCGCCGCCGCGTCGACGGTCCCCGCGCCTCCGAGGAGAGCGGCGAGGCGACCCTCAGCCCGGCTCCGCCACAACAGCCGCGTGCGACAGGCGGGGCTCCCCAAGCCCAGAGTCCGCGGGCCGGACAACCGCGCGTTCCTCGAGGCCCGGGATGTGCCGAGACGGCGGGGCCGGGGCCGGGGCCGACAACTCCCCCAACACGCTCCTGCCCGGCCCGCACGGCAGCCCCGCAGCCCGCTCCCAAAGCCCCCGCCTCGGACCCCGCCCCCGCGTCAACCCCGCTCCTACCTGCCCCGGGCTGGCCGCGACGCCGCCTCCGCGGCTGGACTGCGAGGTTCTGGTCCTCTCCTCCGCTGAGGTGCTAGGTCTCGTCGGTCCCACTCGATCGGCTCCGTCCCGCCCCTGCAGGCCCGGGCGAAGGCCCCGCCCCGGCTCGGCCAAGCCCGTTTCTTATTGGGTGCTGTTTCCACCCCTCACACTCGGGCCCGCCCCCGGCACCGCCCGGACCGGTAGTGGGGAGAACCACCCCCGCTCTAGTCCGCGGACCGGCCAGAACCTGGCCCAGGACCTCTGCGCCGCGACGCTTAGGTCCCCGCAGCAGGCCACTGTCGCACAGTCGCCAAGCCTGGCGGGCCCTCTAGCAGAAGCTCCAGGGTCCTCGCCGTGCCTGCGGTCTGTCTGGCTCCTCCGCGACGGACCTGAACTACGTAACTTCACGCCTACAGGAGACTCCAAATGGCCCCTCACTCAAGGAAACCATGGAATTGTCCGCTGCCGTCGGACGCAGTCGGCCTGGTGTCACGGTTTCTCTGGTAGAGCTCAAAGAGGAAACATTTCCTGGGCGATTGCAGTGTAGTGCTAATTTGAAACGTAGGTGAAAATAGCGCTCCAAACACCTGAGGCTTGAAATCCCAGAGCAAGGGTGCCTTTGATACTCCCCGAGCCTGATGTGGGCCCCCACGCCCTGTTGTGACACACATGCAGAAGCACTACGCCTGCAACGCGCTCCTGCTCAGGTATGTGTAGGGCGCTGTGCCTACAACGAACAGCAGCCCAGTTTCACTAAAGCGGCGAGCCAGGGATGAGTTGAGCCTGTTCCCCGGGCACTTGCTAACCACCCCACCCGACTCGCCCCTCCCCGTCCCACCCACTCCGCCAGAGCCTCTTAGGTCTGGTGACCAAACTCTTCCCACATCTGTTCACATAGAGGTACCAAAATAGAAGACTGCCAGAAAGAGAGGTGTTTGGTTACACATCACAGATGACTGTCACAAGCTAATTTAGCCACAGCAGTAAAAGTTGCATATCCCAAAGCGTTGGGAAACCGTAAGTTGTGGACAATGAAACAGGGGTTACTTTCTATGATTTAAAAGAAAAAAAAGTTTTGACAAGACATTTATAAAACCATGACTAAATGAGAACCCAAATGCATTGTTTGTTACACATTTTGAACAGTGATCTCCATGGAGTATCCTCTGCCCTCCCCAATACCAAGTCCTTATGTATTTAGAAAACTTCCCAAACAGTTGTCTAAGATGAAACTTTGGGCTAGCATAATGTGGATTTGAAATTTATTTCAAAATTCAAATTTATTTCAAAGTTCAAACTTTGTACTCAGATTATTTGGCAAAATGAGGCAGATTAATTACACATATCAAATATAAAACCAAATCTGGTATGGGTTCTATGGATGTTATAAGTGAATTACCATGTATGTATTTTACTGCCCTCTACGGGTAAAATGGAGATACACCTAATGGTAGTGTCTTTTAAAGTCTGAGAATAGAATGCTTCATTTAGCAGTTTGTATTATTTTGAGGATAAGAAGACCAAGGTAAAATAAAGTCAGGCTCTGATTTTACAAAGGACTTACAGATACTCAGCTAACAGAACTTCAACTTCAGAAACCAGGGAGGGGACTCTTTTGCTAAAGCTAGTACAGACATGCTGCTGAAGCCACACCCTTGCTTACGGTTACCTGTACAGAATGTGGGAACAGACAGGAATTTGCTATTAATTTTTTTCCATTTGAAACGTCAGTACTTCCTGAGATGTTTCACAAAATGCTCTTTGTCACATTTGCATCTGCTAATCCTATAACTTCACAGTGTGAAGTAGTTAAGAGTAAGAAGGAAATCTTATTCTTTATACTTTTGCTGTCTAGAATAGTACCTGATACTTTAGATATTTGATCGGTGACTGTTTATTGAATACTTTGAATGAAGTATCAGCCCAACCACTAGATGGCAACATAATTGTATGTGCATAAGTATAGACAGCTAATTGGAATTCTACCTGAGCTTGAACAACAGGCAATTTCTAGAAAGTTACATCATATCTTATTTTGGTAAGTGAAGTCATTTAAAATGTATCACTAGAACTGACTATAACTTTATTGTCAAATAAATCCTGAAAGCTAAGAATATTTTTGTAAGATAAATTCTAAGTATAATAACTAATAAGTGCAGATTTTCTATATTTACACCTGCTTTATTTTTGTTTAAGAAAGTTACTCTTCAGTTATATTCTGTCCAAAGGATTTTTCAGTGATCCAAGTGCCTTAAGCAAGTTTCATTCTATAAACCAAAAGCCTACATTATCCTGATAACAAGTCATTGCTTGTATTTTCCCCCTGCCTTAATAACTGTTTTGCCTCAAAGTTAAGGAGATTCTGGAATCAGGCAAACCTAGGTCCCCACTGCTACTGCTCACTTAAGTGTATCTTTGTGTGGGTTATGATGTCACTAACTTCAGTTTACTCATCTTCTCCATATGGAGATAATAATACCTACCTCATAAAGTTGTGAAAAGAGTTAAATGAAGTGATGTCAGTGTAGCAATAATATAATCCTGGGCTTATAATAGGGATTCAATAACTGGTAACCATTGTTATTTACATGCTACAATGAAAATCTCACCCATATTATTACTCGGTTTATTTATTTTAGTCTCCTGATTTAAGGCCTTCAGCAATTAAATTAAGTTCATAACACCAGGTTTCATAACGATAGGCCATGCGGATTTGGGCTACGTTTGTCCTCCGGATATCATTTCCAATAGGGCCTTCCTCAAGGTAATTGCTGCCCAGAAACTTTGCTTTCTCCTGTAAGAGAAAAGTAAGCAGAATGATTGTTGTCTCTTTTTACTCTGATAGAGTCAGTAACCACATCCTCCACAATGATTCCTTCCTTATGTTAGTCATTGGAAAAAGGGGGGAAAAACACACCATTAAAAGCCTTGTCCAGAGCCTCAGTGTGCATGGTTTTCTGAGGCACAAGTGCATATTGCTTCCCTTGCCCAAAAGACATGGCCAGAGAAATAGAATTCTTTCTAGACCCTGTCCGTAGCAATTGCATGTGATTTGCAGGATAATTTTTTTCCACTGGTATCCCCAAGTTATTTTTCAATATTCAAGTGACCAGACCTAAACTTAGAAAGGCAACCAGTCAAAGACAGACCTACCTCGTGAGAAATTCCACACTGCAGCACACTGTTCCTTGCCACTTCACACATGTCGCAGGTACTCAGCTTGAAGACTTGTGCGGCAATGGCATATTCTTCCATTAGGGGCTCCTTCAGTTATGTATTTAAATGAGACAAAAAGAAAGGAAACGGAATGAATTAAAAGAATGGCATCTCGCGTGAAAAGAATAATGAAATAGCTTGATTTGATTTTTAAATTGTGGGTGGGAAACAACAGCCCAGCAAAATAGGCGTGTGTTGCTCACGATTCCATACACCTACCTTGGTGAAGTGGAATTGCATTGGGTCGTCTGTAGAGAGTGAAATCATTAGCCCTTTCTGGAGGAAATCTAAAAAAGGGTTTTTGGCATATTCTAGAAATAAGCTGTTGTTACTTAATGGCGACATAGCGATGGGAATCTGGGCTAAGAAATACAAGTACTGTAACACAGGACTCTGAAAAGAAAAGGTAAAAAATATATATATTGAAGGATGTTGAAAAAGAAATACAAACAAGGAATGTTAAAGTCCCACGGTCTATCTCAAGTTTTAGCTTTCAACACATTAACACCTGTTTTTAAAATTCCCCTGGCAAATAAGAGGAATAGTTTTTACATGCAAATACTATTTAGAATAAAATGATTTGGGATCATCAATTTTCAGAAGCATTAAGTTAGATGGTCTGTCTCTAGTAAAAGACTTCACCTAGAAACATTGATTTTTTTCTCTACAAGGAAGTTCTGACTCACGAGAAGCATTTTAAAATATGCTATAACAAGAAATCTGGCAAAAAAAAAAAAAAACAACTAGTTTCAGGTGAGCCGTGCTGCCTCTGAGTGATCCTTTGTCGGGCTTCTAAGTGGAAGTCAGGCATTGACTCATCTCTGCCAATCAGCTAGGAGATCCTGAGCCAGTTCCTGTACTTTTCTGGGCCCCTGTAAAATGAGCTGCACTAAATAATCTCAAAAACTGGTTTTGTCCTACTTTAATTTGCTGTCAGTGTCGAAAATGACTGGTGACTAGCTCCAATAAAAAGTTACTATTTTGAAAAATTTAATTTTTCAATTACGGTTTACACCCAATATTATTTTGTATTAATTTCAGGTGTACAGCATAGTGGTTGACATCCGCATACCTTACAAAGTGTTCTTTCCCAGTATTTTCAGTGCCCACCCGGCACCATACATAGTTATTACAATATTATCAACTACATTCCCTATGCTGTACTTTAATTTACACCCCGGTGACTATTCTATAACTATCAATTTGTACTTCTAAATCCCTTCACCTTTTTCAACCCAGTCCCCCCACCCCTCGTCCCTTCTGGCAACCATCAATCTGTTCTCCGTATCTATGAGTGTGTTTCAATTTTGTTTGTTTCTTTAAAAACTCTCCTATTAAGAAGAGAGCCTCCAACGCACCTTTTTTAAGTTCAGGCCATGAGAAATATTGTCTGCAGTCATGAACGCTGTCAGGAGGTGGGTGAGCGCTCCAGCTTCCCCACAGTGAGGTCGGAACAGAAACGTGTTCATGCCTCGTTCCCTAGGGAAAAGGAACTGCTCTAGGGACCGCAGGTGGCGGACCAGGGCCTGGCAACAGTTCTGGACATAGAGTGAGAGACAAGGAAATTCAGTAGAAAAATGAACTCCCTGGATAGGGGTTCCTATGGACATTCCAAGGATTCAGCAAAACCAGCATTTCTGGAACATAATCTCAATTCTTTCTAAACACTGAATTTTGAAAAAGAGGCAGCAGAGGATATGAGGGCACAGAGGAGAGTCAGGATTTGATTACCTGAACAGAAACATCTTCAGTTTCAACAGGAAATTCATCAACATCACCATTTCATCCTTTGTCCGACTTACACTTTAGGGGGTAAAGGCTTCCAGAAAGCCCCATAATAATATTCCTTTATTTATTCTTACTTAGATCTA